TGCGAAGTTTAAATGGTACCAATCTGACGCTCACTTAGCGCCGATGGCAGCAATGATACGGGGCACTGGGGCAGGCGGGCAGGGGGCAGAAGGCCGTAGACCCGTGACATGTCAGACTGCAGTCCAGTCCAGGCAACTGACCCACAGTGCATGCTGCCTCTCCGCCCGCCTCTGCATCTGCTCAGCCCCGTAATACTTCCTCTGTCTTTCTATCCATTGGGCTGTTCGTCCATCTTCGTTACCTACTTGTCTGTCCCTGTACATGCTCCTATCTCTCTGTCTCCCCTTCTCCGTACAAGGTGTATTTGTCTTTGTAGGCATTTATACAGTGGTGACCAGCAGGGCTTTCCAAATTTCTTAAAGCAGCCCTGTGAGAGGTGATTCAGGGCAAAGGTTGCCATGACCTCCATGTTCCCAGTGTCTCAGGGACACCCTTGCTGTGTGCATGTAAAAATGTGTTCCCAAAGTGTCACCCCTGCTTAATCCCCCTGGGTTGGAGGGTCAGGCTGGGCTCTTTGTAACTCCGCCATCATCATTACCTTTCAGCCCTGTCTTGCCCTGGGTTACCCTTGTCCCCTCCCCTACTGCCATCCTCCACTGAGGGTGCAGAGGGTAACAGAGGGCAGAGTACCGCTATGCCACGTGGGCTCTAGCAATGATGTGGCTGACGATGCGTGAGCCCGGAGAGAGTCCAGCTCTCTGGCCCCGAGTGGTGCTAGCTCTCCTGGGCACTGCAGGTGGTGAGGCATTGCCATGCTGAGCAAGGAGGAGCTGATGCCCAGGCTCGCTTTGCACAGTGATATGAATGTGTGGCCTGACTGCCCAGGGTTAGCACAATGAAGGCTGTTTCCCTTGGGGTTTCAGAGGGATCAGGCAGAGGGCTGGGCAGGCCCAGGTGGATGGTACAGTTCACTGTGTATGGAAGTCTCCCTGCTCCATGATGAAATATGCCCTTCGCTGCAGATGGGGAGAGGCTGCACGCCAGCTTCTTGCTGGGCCTGCACCATACCATCTGGGTAGGAGCTCTGGCGAGGAATCAGCACAGTAATGCTGTTCTTTCCTCTCTTTCCAGGCTGTGCCTTTCTCACGTACTGTGCCCGGGACTCTGCCCTGAAAGCCCAGAGCGCGCTGCACGAACAGAAGACGTTGCCTGGGGTAAGTGACGTGCACTAATTAATTTTTTATTTTATTTTTTGGAGGGGGTGGGGGGCATTGGGGAGCCTCTAGAGGAGAAATGCAGAAGTAGTGCATAGAAAACCTTCCCTCCCTACTGTGATGGTATTGATATTGATTTCCAGAGCAAGCAGATTTCAAACCAAATTCCAGCTTTCAGCAATAGCCTCCCTGTTGTACCCTGCAATTTTCTGTTTGGTATCAGACTGTGGCCAACAGTGCTTTGGGCTGAGGCTGGATGGAGCAGAAACCAAGGCAAGGGAAGGGTTGAGGCGGTGGAGAGGGCGACTCATTCAGACACTGTCCTGTACCAGGACTTTGGATAGAACTATTGGGCGAAAAATGTTGTCCAAGCCCATTTTGATTCTGCCGTGAGGGATAAAGTGTGGGCCAAGACCCACGACTGGTGTAAATCCACACAGCTCTCATGGAGCTTGGTTAACATAAGCCTGTGGGGAACACAGCCCCACTGACAGCCATTTGCAACAGATGGGGATTTGCCCCAATGACCAGTGAAACTCAGCTAATTCACACCAGATGAGGACCTGGGCCTATTGACTGCAGTGAAGCTATGCTAATCTACACCAGCTGGAACGGATGGCTGTGCAGCTGTAGTCATTTGTGCAGCTGGGGATTTGGACCTGTTGACTGCAGTGGAGGTCTGCTGATTTACCTCTGCTAGGGATTGCGCCCCATGGACTGCAGTGGAGTTCTTCTGATGTACACCAGCTAAGATCTGGCCCTGTCCACTCTGGGGGAACTATGCTAATTGATACCAGTCTGGGTGCTGTAAGGTGTATTGGCCACTGTTTCTAAGATATGAATTCTTTACATTGTGGGGTTACTGGTGGGTTTCCAGGTCTATATAAACCTTGGGCTAATTTCCTTTCATTCATTGAGGTTGGCCTTAAATTCCCTGGTGTGCATGTGTATTTTGGAGTGGCTGATGTGCATCTTTTCCATTGTAACCTAACGGGTTTTCAAACAAAACCTTGACAGTAGCACAGGGCCTGGCCCCACAGGAGATCTCCCAGGGGACTCTGATCCCAAAGGACAGGGAGCCCTATCTGGAGGGCAAGCTTCCTCCCTGCCTACCCGAACCTAATCTGCTTGGGAGGAGAAGGAGGCAGGCATGTGAGGAAGCTGAAGCCAAATGGTTGGCCGTGTGCCATCGTAAATCCCGCATTATCTCTCTCCTTGATAACGTCAACCTCAGACGTCCTGGGGACTGTTATGTAACTTCCTTCCTCTGTGTGTGTGCTTGCGTGTGTTGGGAAATTTCATCTCTCTAGTGCCCATTCTGAAAGGCAATAAGAGCCGATTCGTGACTTGTAGCAATCTGGTAGCTGCTTCTTCAATATGGCATCATAGTGATTCACAGGGGGAGTGAGACTCAGTCCCAGCGAAGCGAGGTAGGATGAAGCCTAGGCACCAGCCATGGGTACAATGCCTAACTCACTGCGGCATAGCTTACACACCAGCTTTGGCAACAAGGCTGTGGTACTGCTTAAATCCCATTTACGCCTTTGTTTGTGAGTTGTGAGAGGTACCTGGGCCTTGTTCTGGCCTTGCTTTCACAGGCTGTGAATCTTACCCAGAGAGGTGAAGGATTCGTGGAAGTGCCAACAAAAACAAAAGAACAGGGCTGGTTTGAAATGGCTTCAGAGTGCAGATCTGTGCATCTCTTGTGTTCCCTGGGTTGCCTCTCATTTTACTGTTGTCAAATTCTCTCCTTGCTGCCCATCATGGAGGCCCTTTCCCCAGTGAGGGAAAGGGTTAAAATATGGTGGTTGGATTATTTGGTTGGACTGGGAGTTATGCTAGGCCACTCCTGTTCCCCAGAGGCCTTGGGCCTCCAAACTGAAGTGGCTTGACTGTTCAGAGGAAGCCCCAGCTGATTTTGTTCCTCTGTTGCTGGGGAGCACTGAGAACAATGCATAAGGGCCATGTCCCTGGCTGAGGAGTTGGCTGGATTCTCTGTAGCAGTTTCATTAACTTCCAATTGTGGCTCAGCCACCAGTGGAGGGAGATGGATTGCCTCAGTGAGTGCATTGCACGTGCTTGTGTGTGTGTGCATCTGCGTGCGCTTGCGCAGGTGTGCGGACACGTTTCCTTGTTGTAGTGGTATCCAGCCAACGTTCCAAAGTGGTTCATTTTGGATGGCTCTATTTTGAGGAGTCCCCTTTGAGGTACCTTGAAGGAGGTGTGATTTTATAACATAGACCCCCCTGCTTTCTGGAAAGGTGGGCCCAAGGGGTGGGCCCCCAGAATCACTGGCTATGTTTAAAATTTTTGGCCTGACTTACTGGCTTGTGGTCACTCCGAGAGTCTGTGCAGAACAGGGAGATGCATTTAGGTTTCCTAAGCCCTAATCTGATCCAGATCTCCAGCCTGACCGCATGCAGAAGGCACCAGGGTTCTCATGGGAAGGGTCCAGGTAGGTTAACTCATTAGGCATCTGGCTTTATGGGTGCTCACACGAGCCTTCTGAATAAGTCAAGCTTTGTCCACTTCCCCACGGCGAGGTATATATTGTACCTATTTTACGTAGGGGAAAACAGGCATTCAGAGGGGGGTGAGCATTGCTCCCACATTGGGATCACCTGGTAGATAGCAGCTGGATCTTCTTGCCCCTTTCCCCAGCCAGCCATGTTCGAAGTTAGCTTGTGTTAAAACACAATAACGCTTCATAGGGAAGCCCCACCCAGAACAAGAAGTCTAATATCCATGTGTTGTCTGTTGTGTCTGTTCATCCCTGTTCTCTACCAAATGAAACCAGAGCTGCTCAGCTTTGTGTCATTGGCCCTGTCGTGGTGGCAGAGATTTTCCTTTCGTTCAAGTAATGGTGATGAGGGAAGTGGTACTTTTGGGACAAGATGTTTCTGGTCAGGCAGCTGCAAATATTTTGCACACCTGTCGTGTGCAGTACAGTGATAGCTGAGACAGCCTAAGTGTCAGTGGAATCGTTCCCTTTTTTCATCTTGAATGTAGATTGTGTATATTGGTGCACCATTGCCCAGCAATAACAAATTTTGGGGGCCTTGTAAGTTGGGTTGCCACTGGAGGACAGATCAGTGATACAAATTCTTAGCATATTCTTAGAAAATTATATACATCAATCCTAGAACAGAGATGGTCACAAACAGCATGCAGGCACCCCGCTCTTTCTGGAATCCTAATTCTGATTCTAGCACCCAGTTGCCAGGGAACAACTCTGCAACAAAAATTGCCTGGCTAGAGAGATCAAGTGGGATGTTATACTCTCTTGCTCCTTGCCACCTTTCATCTGTTACCCCCTCCAAATATATATATATTTTTTTCTTTTTTTTTTTTTTTTTCCAAAAATTCCTTCTAAGGCTGGTCAAAGCTGGTACAGTAGGAAAAAAAACTTGTTAGATCATGTGCAACAGCACCACCTAGTGACATACTGCAATAATACATAATACGTGTTTATGTGGACAGCGGTGACCTAAGTTTTTGGCTTGCACTGTGCTTATCTTCCTGTCTCCTGTGTAGAGTTGGCATGCACAGTTCCCCATTGGCAATCTGTTACACATTTATTCTCCTCTCAGTTTATAGCCCAATGGTGTACACCTCTCATTTTATCCCTGGCCTGGGTCCAGGCATCCAGTCTATCAATGCCTCAGTTTATCTAGCTGTAAAATGGGCAAAGGGGGCTCTCTGACAGAAATTGGCTTTCTTTGGGGGTAAGTCATTAGTTAATGCTTGTAAAGTGCTCTGAACTTCTCGTATGCTAGGTAAGCACATCATTATAATTGCTACCACCAAAGTACTTCAGCTTGTATGCTCTTTGGGGTGGGAACTGTGGCTGCCTCTCTGTCTATATGTTGCCTGGTATAATGGGGCTCTGGGCACTACTGTAATATAAATATTGAATAATAATGAATAAGAACAGTTCACTTGTGGTTAGAACTGGAGGGGAAGAAATGTTCACAAACATTGATCTGGATCTTTAAATGAATTATCCTTGGCTGTGTTTCATGCCCTCTTTTCACTCATTCCTGGCAAACATTCCAGTATGCAGGAATATTTGCGTATTTATAGGACAGCAAGACTATGCCCAGTGATCCTAATTAATGACAACCCTAACATGGTGTTTCATGACTTCACCAGCCTCTGGCTGTTAAAGAACATGTTATAAGGTGAGGGGCAACTTTTCTCCCATCCACTATGGAGGGGCTTTTATATCTGGTGCTGGCCTCTGGCAGAGACAGGAGGCTGGGCGAGATTGACTTTGGGTTGGATCCAGTCTGGCAGGTCCTGTGTTCACAGGAACGACCCATTTTTAATCCTCCTCAGAGGAGGTTTGTGACAAACTCCCATCAGACTAGTCACGGGGAATGTGTGTAGCAGAAACGGGATTCCGGGAATGCTGTTTATCCAATCAGAGGGCAGAAACGACATCATGTCACCCAGTCCTCCAATCAAAGCCGCTCGAGTTTTAAATACAACGAACAAGCCAAAGAGCAGTTATAGACAGGATTTATTCCAGGTTGGAGAAAGCTGCGGGTGGCTCTCGGGACAGAAATCTAGGTGGAATCAGTTGAACAAGGGCTAGATTTTCCCCTCAGGAGCTGTGGCTGTCACCAAGAAGTCACAAGGGCAGGCTGTGCTTTTGGGTCGCAGGCATGGCTTCAGGTTCAGTACTTGAATCAGGTGCTGATGTTAGATCTCTGGTCTGTCAGTGTACAAAGGATTCAATCCTCTTCCTTTTTACCAATGACAGGTGCTCCCATTGATTTCAGTGGGGCAGGATCTGTGCCTTCTGTCATCAGCCATTAGAAAGGCAAACAAAATGTTAGGGATTATTAAGAAGGGAATTGTAAACAAAACAGACAGTAGCATTATGTCTCTATAAATCCATGGTCCTTCCACACCTTGAATACTGTGCCCACTTCTGGCCCCTACACCTCAGAAAGGATAGGGAAGAACTAGAGAAGGTACAGAGAAGGGCAACAAGG